CAGAAAATAGAAGCCAGTGAGCAATGCTAGAGCAGCATCTCACAAGCAGTGAAGCAATAAAATGACTGAGGCTCCTTGTCCTGTGTATTGTCTTAGCAACTCATAATTGGCCTCTAATAAAACCTTCTGCCAGCAGTGCTGACAATGTCAGGATGGAGAGCGGAGGCTGTAAAAGAAGTTACTTCAACGCGGCTCGTGTTGGGGGTGAAATTCCCCTGAGATTTCACAACGTGTGTGAGATAATGGAGAACAGACAAAGTTGAAGGGTTTTGTCTGTTTTTTTAAGAAGTGGACAGAAACCTTGCTACAGGTCTTTGAGAACCCCTTCCTCCCACACTGTCTTTATCAGTTCCCACAACCCTTTGCCAGTGCAGTGCAACAGCATCTTGTCCCGATTTAATGAAGCAAGAGATTCCTCAGGACTTCCTGGGAGAGAGACAGAGAACTACTACCAGGGGGATCTTGGGTTGCCCAGCATCTCATTAATTTCTGATTTATCTTTTTATGGCTAGAAGATGTGCTGTTGGGACTACCCTTTGACAGGATCGTTTAGTAAAGGTATAAATATAAAATTATTAAAGCCAGTTATTAAAACAAAGCCTGGTAGTGCAACTTGTTTGCCTTAAAGTGATAGAAAAGGTCACAAACCTCATCTTTTAGGGAAAATCTTTGTCAGCTACCTTTAAAGTGTAAAACCAGACCTGCCCTGACAGAGCTAAATGAATGCTTTATATGCGATTTGCTTAGCCTTTGAAGTTCCTCCTAATCCACCCCTAAATGCCTGGAACATATTCTTCAAAGAAACTGTAGTCTTCTCCAGTTTCCTTTCAGAGTAGGGTTGCAGGTTGACTGTAATACATTTTTAAATGGTTTTTTTCGCTTACAAAGATCAATGATTCATGTTCTTCTTGTGAAACGTAAAGGAAAAAATCCTGAATGTCATTGTTAATCCAGCAACAACTACTTTTGTGGAAAACTATAAACTCTTGTTATTCAGCAACTTCTTTGACCTGATTTTCACCATTTTCATGAAACAGCATAGTCTGAATTACATGTTTTCGTGGTTGGTATATTGTGCAGCAGGGAAAACTAATTTATTAGTTATGCTTATGAGCATTTTGTGCATATTCATATGTTATTCACATTCATATAATAATCTGTTCCAAAATGTAGTGTATGCCCTAGAACTGACGGATGAAAATAACAAAACCAGAGCTAAAAATGTCAGATGTGTTCTTCCTCAAGCTAGGTGGTAGTCTAAGTCTTTGATACCCATTAACACACCGAACTCTTGCAGACTCTGTGTTTAACTTCCTGGTGATGTCACAAGTGTTGTACTTGCTTCTCACTGCTGAAATCCCTCTTTCTGACATCACTTTGTAACGAATTCTGTTTTGAATTAGTGTCTCATCTGTGGAATTATTTAGCCAGAAGTTTGGCACTGCCACTGAATGAATATTAGATTTATACAGTATTTACTCAGGGGCATGTTTTGTCCTTGGGAAATACTCCAGTGTTAGTACAAGCATGCTATATCCAGGGGAGTGTATGATATAATCTTGGAGTTAGTCTTGTTAATACGCCTGTAATCTCTACTGAGTAGGGCAAACACGTGGGTAATTTTCTGCAACCTGCAGTTCACAGAACAATTTGAAGTTATTTAGGTATTGTTTCATTTCTTGTGATTTACGCTGCAGTCTTCTCGGCCTGCTCCATGCATGCCTTGTGAGCAATGCCATGTTACTTCAGGATGTTTGCTCCAAAAAA